CGTATGCTATAGAAGAGAACACAGGACAAGGTACCCTCTAAAAGGTCTCCTTGACGTTCCAGCCAAGTTGCGAAACGAAGTTGAACCAACACTAAAAACTTCTAAGTTTCTATTGAAAATCTGAACAAGCTTTCATTTCTTCCTTTTTAAAATATATGGTATTTTAAATTAGATTCATATTTTCAGCTTTATATTTCTTCGAATATATAAAGTTTATCAATATTCTGGTGGCTAGGGCCGTAGCTGAAAATGTCAAAACGAGGCACAAGAGGAGCTAATTGATAACCTTTAAGACACTGACCAAACTATCTTCAAAGTAACCCGATGAAAAGAAAATCGTAACCAATTTCTCACAATAATAACAGTTTTTAAGCATTTTTCTGCAGCATGACTCATTTACACTGCCAACTAATAGCATCATTTGAGCAAATTCTGAGATAATGGAGAAAAAATGTAAAAGACTGAACACCAAAACGCACAGGTAGCATCTCTCTGTAAGTGGGGTGATGGCAAGTCGGCTAGACGTTCCAAGGTACTCAAAGCCATAGTCGACTTGAGCGAGTAACATCCGAAGCGACAAGCAATCGAGTCGGGAGACAAGATCAGTTGCCCCCTGATCCTCTTCAAGAAGAGGGGCCGTCGGCAACTGGCCTAGGCTTAAAACTCGTCTCGTCGAAATGTCTGGACCCGGCCCGATTTCGCGTCTAGTGATTCCGTTTTGCTCTATACTATTTGAAGTAATTCTGACCGAGGAAGTGATGTCTACAGTATTCACTGCTTGTTCGATTTCCTCGCCACTATCTTCTCCTGCAATTATTTTGGCTTTCGCTTCTTCCTCTACTTTATCTTCGTCCTTTGTCTCCTCTTCATCAGATGTATTATCGGTGCTTTCTTCTCTCTTTGATTCTTCTTGGGGCTCTTGCAAAATCATGGAATGTGGTTGAGATGTAGTTTCGCATTTCATGTAAGCAGACTCTTTGTCCGAATTCCTCTTTCGCCTGAGCAACTTCGAATATTCCAGGTTGTACTCGTGTTGAAGCAGCTGTTTCAATGAGCCTGCAAGTGGACTATCGGACCAGTGAAAACGCAGCGTGGAAAGCCAACGGAAGTCGAGCGGAGAAATGACGATGTCATGATCCAAGTCGATAAGGGTATCACGGACTGAATAGCAAAGGTATAGATTGTAAAGGTAATATTATTCAAAAATCAGCATAATTTCCTGTACGAATTTATCTGATCCACTAAGCGCTGGCTGCATAAGCAGTAGTAATTTCTATTGTTATGCGTTCTGGTTTTATTACTTAACCAGGTACTAAATAGTAATGGCTTAAAAAGGGTGATCACCTTTGTTAAGGTTTCCTCAAAAATTAGGCTCAAGTACAGACAAATCTATGGCTAGTTAGAGCTACTTTAAAAAGTTACCTAAGAAAGAGGGTACTGTTTTGAATCCTAGGCCATCCGGGCTCATAAAGTTTCCTACTCATTCGAGATCAGCAAGGCTGACAAATCTTTGACAAAGTAGAGTAACATTAACTGAACATAAATGGGTTGACCTCGTTGTCGCAACTTGGTCTTGTTGTCAGGGCGACTTGGTAAAATGCACCTAGTACGAAGTCGTATGCCATAGTAGTTGTCATGATTCCCAGCATCAGACAGTGGACTTGGTGCATTCTCAAACGTGGGATAAGAGAATAAAGAGTAGATAGATAGGCCAGGACAGAAAGAGGAGTGATAGTGTAACCATTTTTTGGCTCGAGGGATTGACTTCACTTGTCTCTTTGACGAGTTCGTATCTTGGTGCGGAGAATGGCAAGGCTCACTG